AGAAAACTTGGAGTTTAATATGGCTTTGAACTTGATTCACATGACTTTTACTTCTCTCAACTATTATCTTTTAATTCATTTGTCCGTATAATTATTCTTCATATTTATTGTTATTTTTCTTGCATCATTATACTTTTATTTTTGCATGTGGTAGTCTTGCTGTCTCACCTCATAACTGGGGTAGGACGTGATTGGCACTCGGCCTAAGCTACCCGTGAATTAAGTTGTTTGGTCAAAGCATTTACTAAATTTATTAGAAATAGCTACCTAATAGGGATTAACTGAGCTTAATGATTTATGCATTAGATATTGAAATACGAAATGTGGAATTCCCATGAAAACATAAAATTAAAATGTGAAACCAACCTAATCCACTAGGCTAAGTCACGAGCCTCTAAAAGAATGCCAACAAGAGCATATGTCCTCGGGGCATACACCAGAATGCTAAATCAATGTAAATAAATGATTTTGATTTCCTATTGAGAAGAGAAGCAGGAAAATGCTGGGTTGAAAGCTAGCCCTATCCTATAGTGTTTAGAATATGATAAACTGTATATGCATCCAAGAAAAACAGAAGAAGGCCTTCATGGGCTAAGTATCACAGATAGCATGCCGAGAGAGTTTCATAGGCTACCTACTCAAAAGACCGAGCAAGTCCTTCTGGAATAACAAAAACAAGCACGTACATCCATATAAAACATGTAAGCAATTTAAAGTCTGAAAATCTAATAATAGGCCGAAGACTGAAATTATAAGCTGAACATGTAAGCGAATAGTTGAAGCATGAAGCTTTAAGGTCATAGCTAAATTGTAAAAGAAATCAAATTCCCTACGTACGAGCAACATGGAAGAGTGTGGGCCTATCTCCCCAACAAGCAATAGTCCTTACGAGCGCGTGGGTAGTTAACCTTGGCCTTTGTGGCACTCACGCAAGGGGAGATCGACTAGCTCTCCATCTGAATGTATAAATGAATGCTGAAACTGAACATAAGTAATACAACAAGGCATATAATAAACAATGATACACATAAGCATATAATATTGTCATGTTTTTATATACAGTCATATTGATTAAGAATGATGGTGTGAACTAAGTACTTGAGCGCAAGAAGACATAATGTGGGGATATCATCATATATATGGAGCACGAGGGTTCTAACGGAGGATAGTGTGGATGCAGACCTTACCTTTACCTTGTGGGGTATAGATGTTGTTTTCAATAGGCCCACGGTGCAAGTAAAAACATTACAATATAGTTTAATAAGGAAAATAATGAGAGAGAAGAAGCCAAAGACAAAATGCTAAAGAAAGCATGACAACATTTTTTTTTAATCCGGTAACATTTTGTATTCAAGCCAGTACTTAGGTAGTACTAAAAAACCATAGTTACAAGAGTGAGATTAGATACAGAGTATGCCAAAAATTAATCAAACCTAAATGGTATCTAGCACATCTAGGATTGATTCTGTATCCCAGAGTACAATTTAGTACACCAAAAGCAAAATAACAAAATGCAATTTAGCTTAATCTTTTGTACTGAATTGCACCTACCCACAAAACATCTATCATTTCTTGTTTTCCAAATTGTCCACCATATACATGAAGGGATGATCCTCCATCTCTCTCAGCTACTAGCTCCAGCTCCAGCTTCCACCCGGCTAAAAAGTGTGTCATCAATCTTAGGGGCATTGCCCATGCTATGCCCCTAAGATTGATGAAAATCTTCCATAATTGATCTGTGATACTACAATGTAGGAACAAGTGATTTACTGTCTCAGCTTCCTTTTCACATAAGAAACATCTTGAGCATAGTGATATCTTCCTCTTAATCAAATTCTCATGAGTCAGGACAACTTCTTTAGTTAGAAGCCAAGTAAATCATGCAACCTTATAAGGAATCTTGGTCTTCCAGATCTGTTTCCAACGCCAAAAAGTATTCATTGGTTCTATCTGATTCAACAACTTATACCCTGAGTTGACTTTATAAAGTCCTTTAGGGTATCCATTCCACCACAAACAATCTACACCTCCTTGCATCCCTTGAGAGCTCTCTAGTTGTTTGAATAGTTCAACCACTCTTGGGATCTCCCAATCATTCATCCCTTTTCTGATCTCCACATCTCAGCTATAGTATTGTGTTGATATTCGGCAAGGTCAAAAAGATCCGGGAACAATTCTTGGAATGACCTTGTCCCTATCCATTTCTCTTTCCAGAACCTAGTCCTAACTCCATTGTGCACTTTGATCATTGAGTGCTTTTTAAGAAAAAGCCAGAAGGCCTAATGGATCTCCACAAACGGACCCCATATGGAGTGGTGACCTCCTTGGATACCTAACAATCTTCTTCTCCATACTTACTTTTTATGACACTGCCCCGTAGGGTGTGAGTCTCTTGTGCATATCTCAATAACCATTTGATCTTCAGGGCAAAAGCCCTGGTGTTTCAGATTCCTAATGCCAAGCCCCCCTTGTTTGTTACTCCTAATAATGTCCTTCCATTTGACTAGGTGGAGAGCTCTTTTTTCCTTGTTTCCTTGCCATAAGAAGAACCTCCCGCTCTTGTCTAGTCTCTAAACAACACCTGAAGGAATCGCGAAGAGTGATAGAATGTAAGTTGGTAGTGAATCTAAATTGCATTTACTAGTGTGAGTCTTCCCCAGAGATAAATACTGAATTTTTAGTTCGGCCCACCAGTAACTTATTTAATTATCAATTGCTTTTATATCCTTGTAAGCTCAATATGCGGTCTTAAGACTTAGGAAGTTAACCCTCCGTTATAATCATCATCAAATGAGTATTAATTAAACTTTAAGGAGCATTAAGAGTCCGTTTGGATTGGCTTAAAAAAATAGCTTTTAAGTCAACAATAAAAAGTCAAACTTAAATGACTTATAAGTCAAAAAATAAAAAGAAGGGGGAGACCTACTTTTGGTTTTAACTTATTTTAAGTCATTTTTAACCTTATTCTAAGTTATTTTTGTATTTGTCAAACACTTCAAGAAATCAAAAACTAACTTAAAAGTAGGTTTGACCAACTTTTAAGCCAATCCAAACACCCTCTAAATTAGCTTGGGGCTTCACACTAGCAGCCAACATAAAACTAGCAAATTTCATGATAAATCTAGTACTTTTATTTATATGTGCATAATATTGGCATGCGATGAGTTTAAAGCAAGGGGTGCTTATAACACCAAGTACCATGACACTTTTCTATATTTTCATCCTTTTTAACAGCCTTGATAATAGGTCTCAAGCAGAGAGTTATTTTCTTCTTCTTCTTTTTTCCGGATAAGTAAATTAGAGTCTGTCTCATCTGGTCCTTGCACTTCAATTAAAAGTAAGTTACCTGTGAATAGGATATAAGTTAGGCTTTGATGAAAGAATCACCTTTTCAAGCTTCAAATAGTTCTTCCTTGTCCCTTTTGTGCAAAATCTTCATGCCTACCAATGCAACCAAATTTATATAGAGACGGACCAGAACCCTGTCCAGTATCTAAGACCAATGCTTACTTGCTCCAGCTTTCTCTTTGACTGACTGTACTTCTCAAGCTACACGTCTCCGTCTCCGATGCTAGGGGTTCTTCTGTGACTGTCTTTTCTGGTTGCCAAATGCAGCTGCAAGTTCCCAATTCTGCCGGTGATAGATGGTGTGGTGAAGCCTTGCAGCTACTCCGAGTTAGAAAATATTACTAACTTTGAGACTTGCTTGATTCAGTATACACAATCAGGCAGATTGTTCCGTGGAACCATTACTGGAGGATCTGAAAAACGATCAGTGATTGTAAAAACATGGGATTTTTTCCTTCCTTTGGACAGAAAAAGTAGTGAAAAATCTGGATAAGCTAAGGAGAAAATTCTTATGGCAAGGCAACAAGGATGGAAAAGGCTATAGCTTAGTAAACTGGAAAACTGCTCTACTTAGCAAAGACAGAGGGGGGCTGGGAATTAAGAACTTGAAACTACAGAATGAGAGCCTATTGAAGAAGTGGTTGTGGAGGTACACTGAAGAGAGAAATGCCCTCTGGAAAGAGGTGATCATAGCTAAATATGGTGAGTTAAACCCTTGGTGTACAGAGATCACAACAGAACCTTATGGTGTGGGTGCATGGAGATCAATTAGAAACTTGTGGTCACAAATGGAGACAAATTTATATATCAAGGTGGGAAGTGGCACTAAAACAAAATTTTGGAAGGATGTTTGGATAGACCAATCCCCTCTTAGAGATCTCTTTCCAGATCTCTTTCAAATTTGTGGAAATCCTGATGCCAATGTTGGTGATTGCTGGACTGAACAGGGCTGGGATCTAGTTTTTAGAAGACTTCTCAATGATTGGGAGGTGGAAAGGGTGGCTGAGATATTAGGGATGCTAAGCGGAGTGACCATCAATACAAATGCCACAGACAGGATGTTGTGGAAGCACAACAAAGATGGCCTCTTCTCAGCCAACAGTGCTTACAGAAGAGGTCTCCAGGTGATGGCAGGGAGACCAACACACTTCTGGAACTATTTTTGGAAGGGGGATATTCCTACAAAAGTGAAATGCTTCACTTGGCTAGTGATAAAGAGAGCTTGTTTAACACAAGAAGTACTTCAGAAGAAGGGTAGACATCTGGTCCCTAGGTGTTTGTATTCAATTTGACAAGTGAAACTAACAGCCACCTCTTCTTACACTGTAATTACACTGCTCAAATCTGGAATTTGTTCCTTAGCATCTCAAATCTGAATTGGACAATGCCAGAACGTACATCAAACGTGTTGAAGAGCTGGGTAAGGAGAGAAGGTACCAAGAGCCAGAAGAGATGGTGGAGGTTAATACCATCATGTATATGGTGGTCAGTTTGGAAGGAAAGGAACAGTAGATGTTTCGACAATAGATCCAATTCCATACACAAGGTCAAATGGAATTGTATAGTATCTCTACTTTTTTGGTGTAAACAGTTGTGTATAGTAGATACAAATCAAATTGTAGATTTGATAGGAAGTTTGTAATTGACACTTTTTGGTGGTGGCCAGCATGCCCTTAATGCTGAAGAATACAACCTTACCAGTTTCAAAAAAAACATATGCTTATCGTCCATCTAAATTTTGTGTATGTGTAGATACACTTTAATTTGATTTTCTTGTCTATTATTTTGGGTTGAATGGATGATGTCAAGAGTTTTTTTGTAGGATGAGATTGAGTTATATGAAACAGCAAATGTGCATCCACATTTGGCAAAGTTATCTAGGTACTGTTGCGATAGGAGGCTTGCAGTTGTCTATGATGAGGAACTTACCACAGCTTTGTCTGATGTGCTTCCGGCTGGTATTTAATTACCTTAAGTATTATGTTGGATGGCTGTTTAGTATGAATTTTGCATGCTTTTGCACCTCCTTTATCTCTTCTTTTTCTTGTTCGTCAGATGACTTTGGGTGGGATAAGCGGATGAATGTGGCAACTCAACTTGCAGATCTGTTGGCATGGTTGCATAAAAAGAAAATTGCAGTTGGCAGTATCATTGCTTCATGCATTATGATAGATAAGGTTCAGTTTAAAAGCATTTGGCTCTCTTCTCGACCTTATATTTCCTTTGGAAATCTGGAGATTCTTAATGAGTTACTATATTTTTTTTTTGATTGCAGGAAGTGAATATTAACGTGTTTGACTTTGGTTACATTTGCAATCGTGTCAACGAGGATTCTGTAATTCCTCTTGATTATGTTGTTGGCAGATATCCTGAGGATGTTTCAAAAGGCATGTTTACTTGCACTCCATCATCATCATCTCGGATGTTTCATATTATACAGCAAAGTTTTCCTATAATCGTCTGCGTAATGCAGATATGTAATACTTCATCTATTATGTTGTTTGGTTCCAGATTTCCTATATTAAAGCCCACCACTTTTCTTTTCTTTTTTGGAGTGTGTGTGTTTCTGCATATTATTCATATTGTGGACAAATAATTTTTCTGCTGAAAAACAGTTGTATTCTTATTTTCCTGGACCAATGCAGGTTGGCATTGGACGATGAAATCTGATGTTTATATATTTGGTCTTCTACTGATGGAGTTGATAACCAAAACGAAGCTTGGTTCTAATCCTTCCGTTCTCGATAATTGTAAACCGGGCTCTTTTGTTCATAAAAGCTTCGAAGATGTTGATGATCAAACTGTATTTGGTATCACGTCTCTGGCTTGCGGTTGCGTGAGTGCTGATCCAGGCGAAAGGCCAACAATGAAGATGGTTTTAAACGATTTGGATAAACTAAGGAAGAGAGAGGGAAAACGAAAAAGAGATGAAAATGAGTCCACAATAGAATAAGTTTATCCCTTTTAGCTACTTTTTAACTTTTGTATTAACTAAATTGCAAGGTTGTTGCAATGCAAGTGATGGAACTTTATGAATGATCCCTGGTGGGGTTTGAATTGGAGATTTTCAAATTATTAGCTATTACTCGACTTTATATTTCCTTTGGAAATCTGGAGATTCTTAATGAGTATTCCTTCTTTTGGAGATAAATCAGTTTTCCCCCAGTTATGCACAATAACTACGTTTAACTGCTCTTTTCCCTTTACTGAAACAGCAAAACAGGAAGCTAGGAAGTGATGATATTTCAAGGAAAAATAAAGACAAAAACTATATTATTATTTTTTGATTGCAGGAAGTGAATATTAAAGTGTTTGACTTTGGTTACATTTGCAATCGTGTCAACGAGGATTCTGTAATTCCTCTTGATTATGTTGTTGGCAGATATCCTGAGGATGTTTCTAAAGGCATGTTTACTTACACTCCATCATCATCATCTCTGATGTTTCATATTATACATCAAAGTTTTCCTATAATCGTCTGCGTAATGCATGATATGTAATACTTCATCTATTTTGTTGTTTGGTTCCAGATTTCCTATATTAAAGCCAACCACTTTTATTTTTATTTTTTTTGTGTGTGTGTGTTTCTGCATATTCATATTGTGGACAAATAATTTTTCTGCTGAAAAACAGTTGTATTCTTATTTTCCTGGACCAATGCAGGTTGGCATTGGACGATGAAATCTGATGTTTATATATTTGGTCTTCTACTGATGGAGTTGATAACCAAAACGAAGCTTGGTTCTAATCCTTCCGTTCTCGATAATTGTAAACCGGGCTCTTTTGTTCATAAAAGCTTCGAAGATGTTGATGATCAAACTGTATTTGGTATCACGTCTCTGGCTTGCGGTTGCGTGAGTGCTGATCCAGGCGAAAGGCCAACAATGAAGATGGTTTTAAACGATTTGGATAAACTAAGGAAGAGAGAGGGAAAACGAAAAAGAGATGAAAATGAGTCCACAATAGAATAAGTTTATCCCTTTTAGCTACTTTTTAACTTTTGTATTAACTAAATTGCAAGGTTGTTGCAATGCAAGTGATGGAACTTTATGAATGATCCCTGGTGGGGTTTGAATTGGAGATTTTCAAATTATTAGCTATTAATGATTTAACTTTGTTCAGAAAGTCGCACAATGTGTCCCCACAAGAATGGTCCTGGCTAAATGTCTCCATTTTTACGTTTTACAAAAATAGGCTTCTTCTTCACCATACTTCTCCAATATTAAAACCTTGTAATTCTTATTTGGTGGTGGAAAGCACAAGTTACTGAATGAATATTATAAAGAGAAACTTACGCTCTTTGCCCTCTGGAGAAATATTTACACACTTTTGCCCATATTTTGAGTTTGTTATATGATTGAGTCCATATTTTTTCCTTGAGCTGAGGTCTATATGAAACAACCTCTTTTCTAGGGTTAATGTTTGTGTATTATCTACCTGTCCACTTTGTGGGACTCTACTGCGTATGTTGTTGTACTTGCTTTAGTCTATATTTATGTCAAGAAATTTTTTTAAACACTATTGTACTCTTTTATATAATGTTGACACATTATGTATAATATTTCCTTCCAAGGTATAATTTGTATAATATTGTATAAAGTATAAATTAAAAATATGATACATAACGTAATATTTTGTGTTAAATTATACTTTTCTAAAAAAAAATTACTTATTATAAAATCATTTGAATGTTTATTATTTATGCTTAAATTTTCAGTTACATCCACTACTTAATAAGTGATTTTCTTTTGAAAACTCAAAAATTTCATTGTTGGACCTTAGAAAGTGTTGAATAAGACAAATTGGGTCTTCTTGATTTCGTATTGTTTGATTAAATTAGTGATTGGGGATTGTTTGTGTTGGTATTTGAAAGTTCGTATATTCCTACAATTATTCTTTGGTATCCACATTATTCCACTTGTATAATATGAAGCAGACAAAATATGTCATTTCTTGTCAAAGTTTCAAGAAAGCTACCAAGCTCTTCTACAAGTTACTGTTTTTGTAGGATCAATCGGTTGTTTATACATATTCATGCAAGTGGTGAAACTTACCAACTCACGGCTGAACTCTGAATCCTAGCAAAGGGGTCAATCAAAATCCCTACCTGGATCTGCACGCACGAAACAAAATTGCAGCATCCCCAGGCAACGAGACATCAGTACGAATAAAAATGTAGCGGTATGTAAGGCAGAAAATAGAATCATAAACATATGCTATAAAAAGGGTAATAAAGATACCACCTAAAATAGAAACTCTAATAGCCTCTATGGCAGACATCCGATTTTATATAAATTAAATATGCATAGTATGCTCGTGTATTTATATGTCGTGAATACTATATATATATTTATTTTTTTCTATCTATCTATCTAGAAACATGAAGCCCCAGGACGACCAAGGGTAAAATAGATAATTTCATGCTCACAAATTCACTATGTCGGTGCTTCTAGAATCATCGGTCTTTCAATTTTTCTCAGTCCAAAGGATTTCAACTCACTCAATGCACAAACACTCGGAACATAATTCTAGAAGTTCTCTCTTTCTTCTTTCTCCTTTGTGCTCAAATTGGGTATATTCACTTATAATTGTTGGTGCCTACAAGCTATCGCTGAAGCATTCAAGATGATGAAGCCCAATCGTTGAAGATGGATGTCATACCTATGAGGTGTTTAACAAAAAATTCGAAAAGAAAAGGGCAGATTCCATCACCATCAATTTTCTTGCTCCGTAAGCTTTAAATCTTCTTTCATTATATTTTATTTATTAATTCCGTTTTTTTATTTCATTTTCATCCCTTTTGGGATGAACTGAATTTCATTCTCCGAAAATAAGGGTATTTATCTTCTGCTGTTTCAATACTCTGTTTTAGTTGTTGTTTTCCTTTTGGGTATATGTATGTTCGTTAATAAAAGTTATTACTTCCTTTCGGTTGTTCTTTTGAAAAAACATAAGAAGCTATTTGTGTTCGTTAATAAAAGTTATTACTTCCTTTCGGTTGTTCTTTTGAAAAAACATAAGAAGTTATTTTCTTTTGTCCCAAAAACTGAACAGCATATTACTCTTGAATGGTTCAGTGGAGTTAAAAAACACTATAGGTAATTTCTTTCTTAAGGTTGGTGGTAAGGCTGGCAAGGGGACGGGGACGGGGACTGGGGGACGGGACGAAGGGGGACGGGACGGGACGGGGGACGG